TGACTATGCTAATTATCCAGATTTGAGCATCACATATTGCACACAGGTATTGATATTCAACTCTGTACTGCATAGATATGTACAATCAACCATGGTTCAATAATAAATAAATAAATAAGTAAAAAGAGGAAAGAGTAAACTGTCCAGATGGGAAGTTACTTGAACTCATAACAAACCCCATCCTATTTGTTCTACCTTCATTTGAAAAATGCCAGTGGTAGTGCTCCTATTTTCCACATCAAAAACACTGGGACACACGGTTTGAGAAGGGAATTTTTCTCTTTTGCGAATTGGTTTGAAAGGTTTTAAAGCAATGTCAAATTAAACTGTAATTACTTATTCTTTTGATTAAGCACCTTATTGAAAAGAAAAAGATTACATAAAAATGTGGATTGTCTAAGAACAGCTGGAACATATGGCCAGCATATGTACTCACCACAATTTTTTGAGTATTTAAACTTTCTTCCTCTGCCCGGCTTTCTCAGTCTTTTCTCTCATCCTTCGTTCTCCCCTCCCCCTTCTCTGTCTACTTTTTATCTTCTTGTTTCTTGTCTTTTCACCTCCCAACCTTTGTGTTTGTTTGTTTTTAATCATGTGTCTTAGCTTTTGCAATTTGTCTACCCTAACACCCTTTGAAATTTACAGTTTAGCAAAATGACCAATTTCTGCCTCACCTAATCAGGTGTAAAAAATCAGAGCAGGAACCAAGAATGTTCTTTTCTGGTCTATCCCTGGCTATGGTTTTGTCTCTTCTTGCTCAGCCTCCTCTGAGAAGGATGCATACAAACTTCCCAGGTAGTTTGTAGATGAGAAGGTCAAAATCGTTGGAAAGGTTTTGATTTATCTTCTCTTACCTTTTTGTTTTCCTCTCCAGATATTTTCTTTGTTTGCATCCTACAGTTTGGGCCAGGTATTAGGAGTGAAAATGCATGGAGACATAAACCACCATTAATCACATTTACCACTTTCTTATCTTAGGATAACTCTTTCCTCTCTGGTTCCCTCACTTTGAGTGGGAAAGTGTTTTCCAGCAAAGCCAAGCTTGAGGACAGAGGGAGAGGTTGGTGTGCAAGGGAAGGGAGGAGCAAATCAGGAAGAAGGAGCTGGGGTCTGTCAAAGAATTCTGGTCAAGGCAGCATGACAAGCAAACCTGAAGAAGCTACAACAGGATGATCCAGCTGTAATGGAATTCAGGCAGAAGTGTTTCTATTCAAAGTTAACATTCAAAAGCAGGAGACATGTTATTTACAGCTATTTCAGGACAACTTTTAGAAGGTTCTGGTATGGAGTTCTAATTCAAAGATATGATAAAACATACTGAGTTTTGTTTTTCTCTCCAGGTTTGCAATGCAACTACAGACAGGAAACACGCAGACCTCTTCTTGGAGAAGTGTGTTACTGAGTCCATAATGAACATCGTGAGCGGCTTCTTTAACTCTCCTTTTTCAGACAATAGTACCAGCCTCCAGGTAACTTAAACAAATACAAAAGCATTCTGGTGCAAAGAATTCATTATGTCATTTGAGTAGGAAGAAACTTTAATCTGGTCGTGTAGTCATTTCCTACACTTCTGATGATCTCTCTTCTTTCTGTTATTTGTTATCATGCCTCTTGCTGAGATTCCCAAATTTTATTTTAAATAGAGAACCCATCTTCAAATTGAATTATCTTTCTAAGCAGAATAGTAACTTTTATATCTGT